GTGAGTGAGTGAGAGTGTGAGTGTGAGAGTGTGTGTGTGTGTGTGCATCTGCCAGTGTCTGTGATTGTGCGTGTTCCTTTGATTCAGGACACCGTAACAGTCTTCGCAGCAGGCGGCCGGGATCAGGCCAAGTCTTGTCATCCCAATCTTGTTTTAGTTCTAGACTTTTCAATTCTAGACTTCTTGTTGGCCCAAACTGCTGCACGGTTTCATCTGTTTTTGTTTTGAGCATCCCTTGTGGTCCAGACTCTTTTTTTCGCTAGGATTTGATTCATACTCTTGGATGCTGGTAACTTCCCGGCGAGGAGAAGGAGCAGGAGTTGATGACGATCAACATGCCACGATGGGGGCAGTGGCGGAGATGACAATCAAACCCGTGCTGACTTGACAGCCTCTGATGCTAGTACTGGTACGTGCACAGATGACGACGAGCAATCCAATGATGCCGGGAGCAAGTATCTACAGGCTGTAGCAGCTGTAGTCAGAACACTAGCAACATAAAAACAGTCATGGTGAGGATACAAGGTAGAATGACAACGATGAGCTCTATACAGGTAGGAAAATGAAGGAAACCCGTAGTTCATGACGATTGACAGCGAAACTTAAAAAGCAGGTGCCCGGGTACGGGCAACGTCCGGGGTCGCTGCCGAAGGTGTCCAGGCACCAAAGGATCTTGGTCAGCGCTTCTGCCTGGACGAACTTCCAGAGCTGGCACTCGCTTCGAACCCTCGCTTCTGCTACTCTGATAACGATCGGTTTGCCTGAAACTTTCCGAGGTCGGATGTTACATCGAAGATGGCTGCCAGACACCTGCAAAGCAGCTCTGAGGTTGCTCAGTCGTCGCTTGCACACATGATGTTGCACGTTCTTTAGACTGCTTCTTCTTGGATGTTCGCGCTCGGACGCCAAGACCAAGCGATTTGGGCCTGGCCTTTCCGATCTGAAGCGCAGAGTTGACAAGGCCTCGGCCACCTGTGGTCAGGGACCAAAACGAAGGCTTTGCGCAAAGCATCCTCGCGACTCTGGACGCCGCGAGCGATACAACAGTTGCCACACCCAAAAATCGCACGCTGCAGCTTCCCACCAAAAGCATGCTGGCAAGCACTACATCGGAGCTCTTGCTATCCAAGGTCCACACCTCACCCACCGCGCTGCTGTCATAGGTGTGGAGGGACTGCGACAGGGCTGTGGTCAAGGCCTGTCATGTGACTGCAGAACGGATCCTCTCGCGGGCTTCGGCACTCAGACTGCAATGGTGCCTCTAAAGCGGTCAGCGGCCCCACACTGCAGCCTGCAAGGTCGCTGAGGAGTTGGGGCAAGGCTGCGAGCGGCAACTCCTGCGCAGGTTTTCCGTGTTGTCTGCTCACCATGCACACATCATTCTCCTGGCCCTACTCCGGTGCGAACCAGCCAGCACAACATGCGAAACCTTCGGTCAAACCGCTCCTCGATCCTGTTGGTGATGCTCACGCCTTGTCTTTGTTTGCGCATGTACGGCTCTTTTACACAGGGGTCAAGAAGTCGTAATGTAACTTAGAGCCAGGGCGCACAATGCGCCCACCAAGGCTGGCTGCCGCAGGCCTGTACACATTCGGCTGGATCCAAAAAACGATTCGCGATAACGATGCTCATGCTACCCTACTCTCCAAGCCCTAAAACGCTCGAAATGCCACAGGTCAAAAAACAGTGGACAAGCCGTAGACAGTGCGTTTCCCGAACACCACTATCGTCATGATATGGAGCCACCTATGAATGATTCAAATCATCTTCGTTCTTGTCATCATTATTGGTAGCACCGGCATCATCAACATCTCACAGAGGCTGCCAAGGCACCCAGCTTCCGAACTGCTGCCAGCGCTCGCGGGACAAGCCGAGCTCGAAAGGCACGGCGCCGGGCCAACCCGTCCAGATCCTAGTCGTCCAGTCGCTTAAAGTTGTCTGGGACTGGATGTGCAGGGTTTACATAAAGCGATCCTGTGAGGGCCAAGGACAGCTAGGGGAAGGCAGCGTGGCAGGGTGAGGATGGGGCAACCCACTGTTAGATATATATATATATAGATACTTCTATCTACATATATATATATATATGTATATAAGTTTGTGTAAATTATATGCACAAGCTGATGACTGCATTAGGCCGGGACGTGTTACTGAAAACATAATGATGCTTGCTGTTTGTAAAAGACCGTGAGGATTGAACTGATGGCTGAAACAAAGGCATTGAAAAAGCAAAGGGAACACGCGAATTAAGACTACAGTAGACATTAAAGGACACCGGTCGCAAATGATATGGATAGGAGTGTAGAAGATTGTTAATAACTAAAGTGTCTGCATAGTATGTAGGCTTTGATGATTGAGGTTGTGGGTACAATATGAGTGTCACATACTGCACCTGGGGTTATAGGTTTGGGGTCTTTTGGCGGGTTGGGCGATTCATGTTTCGGTTCGAGGTCGGGCGCTAGCTGAGGGGCCTTAATTATCCAGTCACGTACAGTGAATTGGTAAACGACAACCCCCCGGCCGAGCTCCACAGAGCTGTCATGATAGAGGCTGCTATATCCAAGAATCGCCTTACACCTACAAACATCTGTCCGCAGGTTGTAGGCAGAGATAAAGAGGGACGGCTCGAACTCAAGAATCACAGTCCGGCATGACAGCTCTATGTGCGAAGCTTTAACCTCGAATTCTCTTCGTCGCCAACCCGTGAAACACCCAGACACTGCGACCACAGCCGGCCCTGAGCCGCGGGCAAAGACCAGTCTCGCAAAGCGCATGTCGCGTCGGACGTTTTCTCGATCAGGATGGTGAGCAATGGCCTGGAGGAATTGGAGGAACATCTGGCGCCAATTGCATGCAAACATCGGCATCTTCGGCGTCACGGCACTACAGGTACATAGAACGCACTTTGGACGAGAGAGGCTTTGACATTATGGGCCCTTGAAACCCTGTTCTGTGGCAGAGTATCAGGCTGTTGTAGAGATATGCGGATGTGCACCCTAATGTCTTCAAAAGGTTTTCACTCCCAGCCTCGAGGGCTGCGACAGCACAAGTTGCATCCAAGCTGGCCGAGAACTCGAGCGTGAGGGCGAGTATCTGTCAGACAAGTCGCCGAGTTCTTGGGTTCAGGATCTTGGGCCTCGCGTGCCAAATGAAACTTCAGGGTTGAGACGGTTTAGGACCGCCTGCTATCTTCCTGTGGACCCGAAACATGGTCACGGCAACTGTGCTGGTACTGTCAATCGCAAGAACAGAATCAACGGAAAATCGAACTGTAGAATGGGTAGCCGTAGCCATAGTGGTGGCACTAGCAGTGGTGGGTGTTGTTGCTGTCGTCGTGGTCCGATGGCGCAGTCGTTTTGGTGAGGCCTGGTGACCGGTGAGAGGATTTGCACCTATCCGCGATCATGGCTGAACATCTCGCACCCTCATTATTCTCGCGCTTGGTACAATCAAGCTAATGAACTGCTACTATCATTGCTGCGAGACCCCAAGCCGCAATTCTTCGAGCACAAAGCTCCCGGCCTCAACCGGCACTTGAGCCGCTGTCAGCCGAGTTAAAAACTCGGAGGCCATATGCGACACAGGGAAGTCATCAGAGTGTCGTGATTTTGGGAGTTGAGGTATGGGGAGTCAAAATGCTAACGATTGGGTCATCAGGGTTTAGGGCTGAATGGTAGGCATAACAGCAGCAGATCCGACAAGACGTAGGCCCCGACGTAGGCTCTCAACGATATGGCGATATGGAAACAAGTGCAACATAACACAGGAATCGGACTCGCATTCGGAAGAGACAGCCGCGGCTCGAGAACAAACGAAGCCTGAAAAACCGTCACAGGAGCTAATGGGGAACTGGTGGTTTGGGGGTACTTGCAGAAACTTGCTGGACCTGTGCAGTGAAAACGGATAGTTGTGAGAAGCGGCAGGGGCAATGCTCTGCTGAGGGCCATCGAGGGTCTTGAAAAAGTTCTGGACTTCGCACTCCAGCACTTCTGCTTTGCAAACAATGGCCCAATTCTGAATGTCTCTACGTGCGTATCTACAACTTTATGTCTCTATGTACCTACATAACTTTGTATCTACATATTCATGTATATATTTCTGGAGAAAACTTGTTGTTTAGTTCCTGATTTATTCATTGACTTGTTTGTTTCTTTACATATTTACTTCGTAACTATATCCATGTATATGTATATCTGTGTATACATACACATATACATACATGCATGCATACATACATACAGGCATACATGCGTACATACATACATACATACATACATACATGCATGCATGCATGCATGCATGCATGCATGCATACATACACACATACACACATACACACATGCATATATACATACGTACGTACATACATACATACACATAACACATGTACATATATAGGTATATACATATATATATATACATGTCCACATATACATATACATATACATATACATATACATAGTCCTTTTCATACACATACACAGTTTCTCTTCGATAAATCGCTGATCAAACTGGCCTTCATTCCCGAACCGTGGTGCAATGATTATGAAAGAGACAGTTCCCTATATATCCATATGTATACTTTTATATATATATATACATGTGAAGATATACATTTATTATTAGGCACCTATACCGGTATCTGTATACATGTGCATATGAATATAAGTATGTGCGTGAGCCTGTGCGTGTGCGTGTGCGTGTACGTGTGTGTGTGTGTGTGTTTGCTTGTGCTTGTGCTTGTGCTTGTGCTTGTGCTTGTGCTTGTGTCTGTGTTTGTGTTTGTGCCTGTGCCTGTGTTTGTGTTTGTGTTTGTGTTTGTGTATTTGTGTGTACCCGTACAGGGACTGAAACGTTTCTAGCATTGACTAACATTGAGTGCATAAACATAGATATATATATATATCTGTGTGTGTGAGAGTGAACATCATTATATATGCATGTATATATATATATGTGTGTGTGCGTGTGTGTGTGTGTGCGACTTATATGTGTGAACATATGTACATAAATATATATATATATGAGCCCGATAC